CATTTCTCAAAATTAGGAATAGCAGCAGACATCCTACCCTGAACCCGATTTTGGTGCTCACAACCATTTTATAATAAAAACATTATAATGGAAAAAAAAAATATTTTTTGAATTTGGAACTTTTTTTTTGTTGACAGGAGGTCAATCCTTTGAGTGCTCATTATTTTTCATTGATTCTAAACTTTCTTCAAGCAGGATTGGACAAGGGGCTGAAACTAAGTTCCTTGAAAGTCCAGATTTCCACACTGGCTTACTTTCATGATTTTTCTCTGACTGTCAATGGAAGAAAACTTTTATGATAGCAGCTTCTCCCCATTCCTTCCTGGAATCTTTTGTGGAAATTAGGAGGATTGACAAAAACACTGTCTGAACTACTAAACTAATGCAGGCCATAGATGGGGAGAAAAACGGCCGATTTTTCGTCCGAAAATAAAACCGGCCGATTATCTTATCGTTAGTGGAGGATTTTGTCGGCCGTTTTTCGTGTATTTTGGACTTTCAGATTATCGGTGATGTTGGAAAATTTTCGAAAAACGCCCGACTTTATCCTCATTGATGGTCAAAAACGAACGATCGTTTTCCGAAAAAGGATCACAAAGGCCACAAAATGACATCATTTTTCCCGTTATAGGTTACTCATTAATCGGCCGATTTTCGTAATAATTGGTGGTCAGGTAAGTTTTTTAGACCGACCGATAGTTCGTTAATCGGCCGAAAATCTGCCGTTTTTCTCCCCATCTATGGCCTGCATTAGCCTTTCTCAAACTCCTGACAGTCAAGCGGTCTTTCCTACTAAGCCATCACCATGGCTAAGAGTGTAGAGAATAGTCAGACCTTCTCAATTTGTAAATCATTTTTTCAATTTATTCCAGGATAAAATTGTCCTGTCTTTGAAGCCATTCCACGTTCATTCCTAAGGTGGCATCTAATTTTCATCTGTCAACTGAAATCACTATTCTACATAGTCAGATACTAATATTACATCCTAACCCTTCTAATAAGAAAGAAGCTCCTCAGAAGCTGGATGTGAGAAGGTGTTTGCTCAGGTATTTGCAAATCAGAAAGCCTTGGAGGAAAAATAAAATAATATCTTAGTACAATTCCTAGAAATGAATAAAGGCCATAAGTGTTGTAAAAACACAATCACCATATGAATCACCCAGGTCATCCATTCTAGTTATATAGCTATCAATAAATATCCTCCAAAAAGGAAAAAAAGGCATATTCTGCCAGATCAGTCTCTAACTCCTGGGCCAAGGCTGCCTCAACTACAGTAGCTCATGTACAGTATATCTCTCAGGTGTGTTGTCATTGGATATAATGGATTACACAAATTCCTCATACTGGTATTTCCCATTCCACATAGTCACCATGAAAACATAGCCTTATTCCTTCCTTGGTGTTTAGTTGCCCTTTCCTGTTACAATCTTATTCATTGAGGAAGGGATTGGTCTTTTAACTGTCTCTGTTTCCTGTTCCTTAGAGGTGGGTGGTCTCTCAGATGTGCTGTGATGGTGACTACGTGGAAAGGGAATAACAAGTAATTTGCGTTTTCTTAACTTTCAAGAGTTTGGGTTTAAATTGGGAACTTCTGCATTAGACTTTTGCAGGTGGGCCTCTCTCAATGATGTCAGAAAGAACATGGTGGGGTGGGACAGAGCTCTGGCCAGGCTTGGGGGGACCTCAGCAGAACACTGCTGGATCTGCTGGATGGTTGAGCATCTACAGCAGCGGTTCTCAACCTGGGGGTCGCGACCCCTTTGGGGGTCGAACGACCATTTCCCAGGGGTCGCCTAAGACCATCGGAAAACACATATTTCCGATGGTCTTAGGAACCGAGACACCGCTCCTGTCTCAGGCGATCTGTGGGCGGGATGATATGCTGCCCCTGTAACCTGGCCACACCTCCGGGATCACTCCACAGCTCCGCCTCCTCGCCGCTGATTGGCCACCGGAACTGTAGCTCAGGAGAGGCACACAGGCGGCCAATCACCGGCGAGGAGGTGGAGCTTGGAGAGGAGGAGCCGAGCGGCAGCGCGCGGAGATCAAAGAAGATCGAGGGAGCTGCAGGAGCGAGTGAAGAGAGAGGCCAGAGAAGGAAGACAGCTGACAGGTAAGTGCAAATTTTGCTGCTGCAGCCATGTATGCAGGCTGTAGATGGGAGAGGGAGAGAGCGAGCCCAGGCTGAGCAGGAGTCAGCAAGGTAAGTATCATTGGTGTCAGTGGAAGGGATAGTGCCCCATCATTTGTGTCACTAATACCAACAATGGGGCACTATTCCTCCCCCCACTGACACCAACGATGGGGCACTATTCCTCCCCCCACTGACACCAACGATGGGGCACTATTCCTACCCCCACGGACACCAAGAATGGGGCACTATTCCTCCCCCCACCAACACCAACGAATGGGACACTATTTCCCCCCCCCCACTGACACCAATGATGGGTCACTATCCCCCCCCCCCACTGACACCAATGATGGGCACTATTCCCCCCCACCACACTGACATCAATGATGGGCACATATTCCTCCCACTGACACCAATGATGGGGCACTATTCCTCCCACTGATACCAATGATGGGGCACTATTCCTCCTACTGACACCAATGATGGGGCACTATTCCTCCCACTGACACCAATGATGGGGCACTATTCCTCCCACTGATACCAATGATGGGGCACTATTCATCCCACTGACACCAATGATGGGGCACTATTCCTCCCACTGACACCAATGATGAGGCACTATTCCTCCCAATGACACCAATGATGGGGCACTATTCCTCCCCACTGACACCCACTGGGGCACTATTCCTCCCACCACTGACAATGATGGGGCACTATTCCTCCCACTGACACCCACGATGGGGCACTATTCCTCCCACTGACACCCACGATGGGGCACTATTCCTCCAATGACACCCACGATGGGGCACTATTCCTCCCACTGACACCCACGATGGGGCACTATTCCTCCCACTGACACCCACGATGGGGCACTATTCCTCCCACTGACACCAACGATGGGGCACTATTCCTCCCAATGACACCCACAATGGGGCACTATTCCTCCCACTGACACCCACGATGGGGCACTATTCCACCCACTGACACCCACGATGGGGCACTATTCCTCCCACTGACACCCACGATGGGGCACTATTCCTCCCACTGACCCACGATGGGGCACTATTTCCTCCCACTGACACCACGATGGGGCACTATTCCTCCCACTGACACCCACGATGGGGCACTATTCCTCCCACTGACACCCACGATGGGGCACTATTCCTCCCACTGACACCCACGATGGGGCACTATTCCTCCCACTGACACCACGATGGGGCACTATTCCTCCCACTGACACCCACGATGGGGCACTATTCCTCCCACTGACACCAATGATTGGGCACTATTCCTCCCACTGACACCAATGATGGGCACTATTCCTCCCACTGACACCAATGATGGGGCACTATTCCTCCCACTGACACCAATGATGGGGCACTATTCCTCCCACTGATACCAATGATGGGGCACTATTCCTCCCACTGACACCAATGATGGGGCACTATTCCTCCCACTGACACCAATGATGGGGCACTATTCCCCCCACTGACACCAATGATGGGGCACTATTCCTCCCACTGACACCAATGATGGAGCACTATTCCTCCCACTGACACCAATGATGGGGCACTATTCCTCCCACTGACACCAATGATGGGGCACTATTCCTTCCACTGACACCAATGATGGGGCACTATTCCTCCCACTGACACCAATGATGGGGCACTATTCCTCCCACTGATACCAATGATGGGGCACTATTCCTCCCACTAATGCCAATGATGGGGCACTATTCCTCCCACTGATACCAATGATGGGGCACTATTCCCCCCACTGACACCAATGATGGGGCACTATTCCTCCCACTGACACCAATGATGGGACACTATTCCCCCACTGATACCAATGATGGGGCACTATTCCTCCCCAATGCCAATGATGGGGCACTATTCCTCCCACTGATACCAATGATGGGGATTCCCCCCACTTACACCAATGATGGGGCACTATTCCTCCCACTGATACCAATGATGGGACACTATTCCTCCCACTGACACCAATGATGGGGCACTATTCCTCCCACTGACACCAATGATGGGGCACTATTCCTCCCACTGATACCAACGATGGGACACTATTTCTCCCACTGATACCAATGATGGGACACTATTCATCCCACTGACATCAGTGATGGGGCGCTAGTCCTCCCACTGCAAAATTACAGTTATGAAGTAGCAACGAAAATAATTTTATGGTTGGGGGTCACCACAACATGAGGAACTGTATTAAGGGGTCGCGGCATTAGAAAGGTTGAGAACCACTGATCTACAGTAAATCTGCAGATAACACCTTAAGGTGAGCAGGGCTAAAAAAAAAAAAAAAAAAGGGGGAGTGGGTTGGGCACAGATCTTCTTTAACCACTTGCCTACCAGGCACTTATACCCCCTTATTTACCAGGCCGATTTTCAGCTTTCAGCGCTGCCGCACTTTGATTGACAATTGCGCTGTCGTGCAACATTGTACCCATATGAAATTTTGATCATTTTTTTCTCACAAATAGAGCTTTCTTTTGGTGGTATTTAATCGCCACTGGGCGCTTTACTTTTTGCGCTATAAATAAAAAAATTGCAAAAAATTTGAAAAAAAAAAAAAGTTTCTTTGTTTCTATTATAAAATTTTTCAAACAGGTATTTTTTCTCCTTCACTGATGTGCGTTGATGAGGCAGCACTGATGGGCACTGATAGGCGGCACTGATGGGCACTGATAGGCAGCACTGATAGGCAGCACTAAAGGGCACTGATAGGCAGTACTAAGGAGGTGGCACGGATAGGCGGCACTGATAGACAGCACTAATGAGGTGTCACGGATAGGCGGCACTAATATGCAGCACTGATAGGCGGCACTGATAGGTGACACTGATTATGGGTACTGATAGACGGCACTGACTGGCATCACTGCTGGGCACTGACTGGCAGCACTGACTGGCACAACCCCTGGGCACTGACTGGCAGCACTGCTGGGCTGCACTGGTGGGCAGCACTGGTGGGTGGGCACAGGTGGGTGGCACTGTGGGCACAGGTGGGTGGCACTGCTGGGCACAGGTAGGTGGCACTTCTGGGCACAGGTAGGTGGCACTGCAGAGTAGCACAGGTGGGTGCACTGCTGGACACAGGTGGGTGATCTGCTGGGCACAGGTGGGCGGAGCTAGTGGGCACACTGCTGGGCACAGGTGGGCGGAACTTGCGGGTGGCACTGCTGGGCACCGATCATCAGGGCACTGATCATGAGTGCCCTGATGATCGGTGCCGATCCCCGCTCTGACAACTGCCGGTTCTCGGCAGTACTTTCCTCACGATCTGACAGCGTGAGGAAAGTGCAGCCGAGAACCGGCACTTGCATTTCCCTCTGATCAGCGTGTCATTGGACACCGCTGATCACGTGGTAAAAGGCCGTTGTGATTGGCCTTTTACCACATCACGTGATCAGCTGTGTCCGTAGGACACAGCGATCACGGAGATTGCCGGGTGCGCGCCCCCTGGGGCGCGCAGGAGAGCACGTTCTGGGAGGACGTCATATGACGTCCACTCAGAACTGGCCGACCGCAGTGTAGCCGTCATTCGGCTATCTGCGGTCGGCAGCTAGTTAAACGACATGACTTTGAGACCTAGGATTGGTAGTATCACAACCTTCCATTATTGGCTCATTATCAGTTTCATGACTTTGAGGCCTATTACTCCATCTGGGCAGGTTGGCCAACTTTTGAAACTCAGAAATTTAGAGGGAGCAGATGGTTGTGTTATCTACTGTGATATTATCGGGGTGAACCACTCTGTGCATATGTGCATATGGTTAGGCTCTTGCTCATTTTGCTAGATGTTATTAAGAAGGGATAATAATTGGGTCTCTGCTACATCCACTCTGATGTGAGATGATCAGAGGGGATAAGTGATTTCAGGAGTACATTGGCCAACGAATAGAATTGAGCAGGTTCTCCATTATGATTGTTCCATGTTTTATACCTATAGTTACTGGAAGTTACATCGTTGCACTTTACCTAATTTTACTACTTCTTTATCCAGGGGTTAAATGATCCTGACCTTTTCCTATTTGAGGTATTGCATTACGGTTTAGGGTGGGGGGGAGCTGGATTGGGTAGAATCAGGGGCGGACTGACCATTCGAGCACTCGGGCACTGCCCGAGGGCCTGGGGTCAGTAGCGGGCCCCATGAGATGCCCCTGGAACCTTTAATTGGCTTTTTCATAGGCTTTTTTGGGTGCGGGCGAGGACACAGGGGCTCCATGAGCCTCTATTGCCCGGGGGCTCCATGAGTTGTCAGTCCGCCCCTGGGTAGAATGCTAAGTTTACTGGCTGCAACAGTATTTTATTGTTCATCATACCTATGTGGATTGTTAAGGTACAATGTAGTACAATTTATGTACTTGTAAATCTTAAAAAAAAAGTTTTCCAAAGAAGAACATATGCTTTATGCTCTTCTTCCTTCCCTTTCCCCCTCAGTTAATATTGGTTTGTGTTTGGGAATGCTTTTGAATAGGCAAGCGCATGGCTTTTTTTCAGGGAGAACGCAGTTCCAGAACTTCCAGCACTGAATGTATGTAATGGAAAGGGGTGGTTGGGTGTGCTGTAGGGTCTAATGTTGCTGGTTACTTGGGGGTCCTATTGTCATTGGGGGATCTATAGTTGATGGGTAGGTCTATTGTTTCTGGTGGGGGATCTATTGTTGCTGGGGGGTCTTATATTTCTGGGATATATCATCTGTTGAGAGAGGGGTCTATTGTTGATGGCTACTGGAGGGTCTATTGATGCTCACTGCTGGGAGACCTATTGTTTTTGATGGGGGTCTATTGTTGCTGGTGTAGGTCTACCATTACCGGGGGTATTTTTGATGGGGAAATCTAATGTTGCTGGCTGCAGGGGATCTATTTTACTGCTTTTATTATTATTAACAAGTTCCATACAAATTATTTAGCACCACAAAATAAATGGTTCTGTATTCTCTAAAAGGGGCTTTACTGGGAGGTAGGTAGGGGGTAGAATCAAGGGACAGTGCTCAGATTGGATAATACAAGTCAACAGAGCTTCACTCTCATTTTCTAAGCTAATGGAAAATTATCTTGCAAAGTGAACAGCCTGTTTGACTTTGGTAGATCAAACCCATGGGTCTACCCTGTCTTGTGTCTTTGACAAGGGATGGTGTGATGGCATAGAGAATATGGGACCCATTAGATCCCTTATCACCAATGGATTATAATTTGAATGCCTCAGTGTATAGGTATTGGGACTAACATTTTGGGCACAAAATGTGTACTGCATATAAGGAAATATCAATTAAGGTAATGCAATAGCGACGTGTTTTTGCTATGTGGAGGAGCATCACTATTTAATTTTCAGCTGACATTTTATAAATATTCTGACACTGTGGTATAATTTTGCCAGTACTAACTAAAAAAAAACAGTTAATGCAGCTTAACCCTTTTACACTACTACTTTTTACTGTATATGTATTTGATTTATACATTGACTACTAAATAATGTAATTAAACATCACATCACAACATCAAAACATTAAAATGCATCTAAAACAAATGGCTTAATATATGTATAGTATACAGTGCATATACAGTCCTGTTATTTGCAAATATTAAGCAATTTTCATATATATGTAAAATAAAAGTTGCAATGATTTAGATGCACCATTTAGTAGTCAATGTGTATATTGAATACATATATTCAGCAAGAGATGGTTATAAAAAGATTGAGCTAGCCTGAGTGTTTTTTGAAAATGTGGATTCTATTTGATGGCTTAGGTTTGTGCTCCCAGGTTATTCTACAGTCTTTCTGCTTTTCCTTACTTGTCTTTTTTATTATACAACTTTGTCATCAACTCTGTTTTCCTGGGGTATTGAAGAATTGTATTGTAATGAAAAAGTGTAGGAAACGGCGCATCTACCAACTAAAGAATTTTTTGACAAATTGAAAAATAACATGGTACCGTTACTTAAAAAATAATAAATAAAATGAAAAACAAAGAAAATGCAGCGCTAATCTATAACACAATGGATAATCATAAAGTCCAAACAATCAAATAGATTGGGATAAATTGCACAAAAAGGAGTTCAGCACCGTTCACCATCACCGAGGCACCCGAATGAATAAGCCCCTTACCGGACATTCTGACCGAAATACACCAGTCAATATACGCAGCCAAAAAGAGGGATCAGTAGTGTAGATGATAAAGCTGACAATCCTCCCAAGGATAAAGTTCACTCCTCCTCCAGAATGCGGTGACGTCACATGCTGAAGTGCCAGGTGGAGCTTCAGCATGCGACATCACTGCGTTCTGGAGGGATGGCGGCCATCTTTCTGGTTGGAAATTTGTTTGTTTAATGCTGCTAACCATTCATATTGGTGCATGTGGAACTTGTATTAAATTGGTTTGCAATATTATCAAATTACTACACTATGAGTGTTCGTCTTTTTATATCCCTTGATTACTGGATGGGAGTCCTCTTTCTGGCTTTTTGAGGATCTCATAAGAGGAGGAGTGAACTTTATCCTTGGGAGGATTGTCAGCTTTATCATCTACACTATTGATCCCTCTTTTGGGCTGCGTAGATTGACTGGTGTGTTTCGGTCTAAATGTCCGGTAAGGGGTTTATTCATTCAGGTGCCTTGGTGATGGTGGATGGTGCTGAACTCCTTTTCGTGCAATTTATCCAAATCTGATTATTTGGACTTTATGGTCATCCATTGTATTTTAGATTAGCGCTGCATTTTCTTTGTTTTTCATTTGTATTTGCCTTTTTATGTAAGCAGCTTTTTTTTTATATTTTATTTTATTTCAAGCTTTTTTTTGTGTATTTATCCAAGCACAGGTTTTGACTTTTTATAATAAATAAAATGACTCTCATTTATTGAAAAAAAAAAGTAGTGCAAAGGAAAGTGGAAAAGTTGAGCATAGCTTACCATCATATTAGCATTACTGCCGATCAGAAAAGAAAAGCAAACCCCTGACTGGTAGTTATGAGTACTACCTTTGTTTCCATTGCTCCACTTATTTTACCCTATATACATTGTGCGGCAGCAGCCAAGATAAAAACTAAATAATGAAATAATTATTGATTTATTTATAAATCACCTACTTGACTGGAGGGTGTGCTTGCTGCTGCCATAGTTTTTTTGCCTGATGCCTGTAGTATTAATTTATGACAAATAGGACAAGTTGGTATGCTTTATTTTGTTCTCTTCTATATAACTTCATCATGATTTTTTTTGTCTACTGTTCTCTTTGCGTCATAATATATGGTTGAAACACATCTAATTTTCATTTCAGTACTAAACAGAGTAACAATGGATGTTAGCAGCACAGAATGTACTTTTAGTGTTTTTTTTCGGCTCTATTATTTTTTATTTGAAAACTTAAAAATATTGTTTTCTTCATAGTTTACAATTGAGTATAGGAAAAATGTACAAATAACACAACAGTTACCCTGCCCCAGATTTTCTGGACTGTTTCCAGGATTTTAGGATTGATCTTTGATCAAGCTGAACCTGAACACACTCTTGTTATTGCATGTTTCATTCAAATGTTATATTTCAAAATACTTTCTAAATTAAACTACCAGTTTTCAAATACATTCTGTAGGCACAGTCACTATTAAGAAGCCATTCTTGAGCAACATGTAGACAAAAATAAAAAAGGTGAAACAGTATTTGGTGAAAATAAGACATTATTGCAATTTTTTTTAATACAAAGTACTTTAGCAAACTAAATGTACACCAGTTAGGGTTTAGCTCAACTTTAAAGTGGTATTAATCCCCCAAAGCAAAAATGTGAAATATTGCAATTTACCAATTCTTAGATGTGGTGGCTGCATTTTATTTCTTTTTATAGGCTTCTTTTTTCATTTTCAGCTGGTGATTCAGCCAGTAAGTCTGTTATTTTTTGAACTTCCTTTAATAGAAGAAGCTGTCCAGCAAAAATGGCATTTCTGAGATGAACAATTTAACACTGACAGGGGTGCTTACAATGGTCAGTGTTTATTCATATAAAACCTTTATCCCAGAAAGAGAAAACTATTGTTGTAACTGATAAAAAGTGTAAACTGGAGTTTAGCTTTAATTTGTTAGTCAAGTCCATCAAAATCTGCTGGTGCATTTAACACTACCTCTCCCCAGACTGACAATGTTAATCTCCAAAGGTATCTCTGTTGCTCCTCCAGAGAAGTGGAAACACCCTAAGACAGGACGTTTGTTACTGGCTGGATTACCAGGTGAAAATAAAAAGAGAGTTCCTAATAAAAAGTAAACAAATGCAGACACCACATTTAAGGATTAGTATACTACAGTATATTAGATTTTTTTGAGGAGGAATTTAATACCACCATAAAGTTTGTGAAAGCAATGCAGCTTGTGGCTTAAAACACCTCTGTATTCCACATTGGGTGATTAGATTTGTTTCAGTCCTATAAGAAATCAGCACAAGTTAGGATTCAGAAACAGACAAATTCATCATCAATGT